GACTGTCAGAAATGGTGCGCGATGCAGCCGAAAAGTGTTGGGTGAACTCAATTAAATAGCCAGATGAGGAAGTGTAAAACAAAACAGTCTCTTTATTAAGAGAACTAACGTTGAACCAAAAAACAACAACAACAAAAAAAAAAAAACACACCATACAAGACGTTGAAAAATACAAAACTCACATGTCCTTATTAGCAGTCCGAGGTCAGAGCCAGCAAACACATACAACAGAGGTGATCCAAAATACGTTGTCCAAAGATAAGTCCGTTAAGCCGATACACCTAGAAGCAGTCTGAGTTTTGAGGGCAAGGCAGAACAGAATAATTCAAAGAAACAGTCCTGGGTCAGAAACACAAATATCGAAAATAGTGCTGGAAAGTCAGAGCTGGGGTCTAGAACAATCTGGCAGGGATTAATGGGTGAAGGCTGCTTATAACGTGGTGCAAACTAATCAGGAGCAGGTGAATCTAATGTGAGTGATTAAGAACATAAAAAGACCGAAACTAAGGTGAAACAAAAACAGTAAGTAACATCAAAATAAAAGCCGGACAGGAAGCAGCGGAACCGAATCATGACAGACTGTCCCTTTAATACCTCTTATATGGGGGTGTATTGTTAGCAAATACATGCAGACAAAAATTCTGACTTGTAAATTATGTGGATCCAAGTTACAAAAACTGTAACTTTGACTTCCAGTATTCATCCAACATGACAGGAAAAAATGAGGATACAAACATATTTACCGTGGAGGAGATAAAAGGGCAATGGCATGTTTCTGAGCTGTGGGGTCTCCCCAAACAACAGCCCCCCAATTCACATGTTAACCACTAATTATTTGCATAGGTCCCCAATTATAAAAGCTAATGAGAATATTATGCTGAAGCCAGCCCACATAATTTTTATTGTTACCCGGTAGCTGAAGATAAAAGGCCTGTGAGTGAACATTCAGCTCATACATCATGGCTAGACTTAACATCTCCGATAATACTTGTCCACTACAGCTGTAAATCCAAGTAAGTCATATGATTGCTACATTTCAATCTTTAGTAAAGGACTGTCTCTTTGTCTTATACAGCAAAGCCTTTGAAGTGACCTCCCACTCCCCCATAGATGTTTAATGGCATAGAGAAATGGGCATGTGGCCCTGGGCATGAATAGTACACAGTGACATTCTGAGGAGCAGCCAGTAGCCTCGGAAAAATAAACTCTTCCAACCGTATCCGTTTTCTCATCACCACCTTCCTGAGTGCGGAGCCATTCTCATCATTATACCCCCACATTCAGCCGTCTGCAGGGGATCCCTGCTGTACCATTAAGGCCATACCGAGGCTCACAAACCCCTGATTGCATGGGCCATCAATAGCGCTCATTATGGGAGTTAATTAGGGTGCTTGGCATGAGAGAAGGGAGTGTCTTTCATCATAGATGTTGAAATTGTACATTACTGATGCAACAGCAGTGACTCTGTCACTGTTGCAGAATTGCATCACTATTGGCAAAGACACTGGCAATATCTTTGCTAGTAGTTAGCATAAAGCATATGGTGTAGTAGTGTCTTATCTGTTACAGTAAGTGAAATTCATTTGGGCTTGTTTCACTGCTGGCTGCTGTTCATTTACATTGTGGTGTGCTACTGTCCTCTGGTCCTGGCCCTGTCAGCTCCATCTGTGTGCTCAGACAAGTCCTGACCCTCTTGTTTTATGGCCAGTGTGAATGTGTGACTGTGTCTTTGCCTGTATGTGTGTATACGTCTACATGTGCATAAAACCAATTACTTTGGGGATGGTGAAATAGCTGGTCATGGTAAAATAACCATGGGGTAATTGAAGAGGCTGGCTGAATGAGGGGCCAGACAGTTCAACGCAGCTTTTACACAAGAGCTGAGTGTTTGGACAAAATGAACAGAGAAAGAAGTCTCGAGTGAAAGTGGCTGTAGATAGTAATTAACATTACAGCCTTTCATTTTACTGAAATTGATTTTTACTGTAGAAACACAACTAGTACTTTACATCACAGCTAAATATTTTGCAAACCAAGCTACAAAAATGTTCGAAAAGAACTTAAAATTAATGCTAATGTTGTTTCTCCTGAAATGATGTCCAATTTTTACAGATTGTTTCCACTGCCAAAAAGAGGCCAAAAAAAAAATAAATCTGCTAATTCAGGTTTAATGAGCGGAACTTGCCAAATCACTGGTATTGTCCTTTAAGTACACTGTAAGTTGTCATCATTAGGCAGTGTCTTCAGTAACTCGTCTATTCACTTCTCTAAGCGAGACAGTTGCTCAGTTTTTCATCCTCTTGAGCACATCTGTTCTGAAAAATACCTAAAGATCTGCTCTGGAAGTGTCCTTAACAATCTGTCGCCTTTCTGTCTAAGAGACCATTTCCTGTTCGATGTTATCAGCCATTCTGACAGCTGTTGGCACAGCACTCCAAACAGTGCTGTGGTTTTATCTCTGCCTCAGCGGCCTGCGCTCAAGTGAGCTTTATTGACTTTGGCTTTTCCAGTTCCATCAGCACAAAATGCATAGGTAGGCTCAGCTATAGCGATAGATATTTTCTGATTATGTGTCTCTTTGAAGAATTGTATATTCAAATGTGAAAGGGGTTCTGAACTGTGGTTCAGAGACCAAATACACTCATTATATAAGCTTTTAACTCACGCTTCATTGGTAAGGTTTTAGTAACATGAATACTCCACTGCTTAATTTGAACAGGGTCATTTTTTTCATAATATTAGTTTCAGGCCCTAGTGTTTGGTTTGTCATCTTAAAAGCCACACTTGAGTTTCCACTGTCACCTCGCTGTGAGAGGAGCATGAGGTGCTGGCCCCGTATCACTGCAGCTCACAGGTATAATTATAGCAAAGAAATGAGTATATATACAGTACAAACATGCACACAAGGACACACATGCTGACCAGCCAGAGCTGAGCTCACACACCTCATTAAACAGGGAAATGAATCCTGGATGAAGCCCTGGCTCCTTTCCAGACAAGAATCACCAGGCTTTCAGGGATTCACCATAAAATGTATAATTAACATTCTCTTGCTGTTAGAGGCTGTCCCTCACTTTCACTTCATCTGTGACTGTGTATTGCCAAGTTCAGGTTTTATTTTTTATCCAGTTATTGTGCTCTTGGCATGAATAACGTTTTACATTAAGAAAATTGGATTGGCGCTGAGAAATTACTGCAATACAATACCTTACTAATCATCATGAATGGATTTTGCATACATGGCATTTGATCATAAATTTCTAGCTAGTTCAAAATAAGTATTGAAGACTCAGGCAGGTGCAAGTTTTCTGCTCAGTATGGCTTCAGCACCCCTGACTATATCCTTCAAATGAGCTTCGTAAAATTGCCCCCCAGATCTTTTTTCTGTCAGATCCCAAGCTGGAGCTGCCTGGTGCTATACACAGCATGTGATTGGCTGCTCTCAGCTAATATTACAAGCCTTCTCTTGAGAGGTGTAGTGACAGCTGGGGGCACTAAAGGTTTGCGATGGTCTCTTCCCATGCTATCAGACACCAGCTCTGGGGCCGGTACTGAATCATGACCTGAGGGCCGCACCAACAAATACTAATATAATCAGTTCCCCATGGAGGACCAGGCCAGGGTCTGGTTTTCCCACCTCTGATCCTAGACACAGCATTCATTCATCACCTCATCTGCAGCCCTGACCAGCTCCACACCTCAAGGCAGGAGAGCACTGGGCATAGCTCCATCCTTTGATTCTTTCAAATGATAACCAGCATTTATATCAGAAATGGGATGTTGTGCTTTTGTCTGCCTGAGCTCTAAATTAAGTGGTGACATGTTAATAATGTGCCAGTGGATGCCTCGGGTAAGACGGACAGGAGAGCAGGATAAAAACAGGTCAGAAAATGGCTCTGTTTCCTCATTCCTTTTATCTATCATTTGCAAGCTGAGCTCTGATTCATACAAAAATAATGAATTATACTGATAAATTTGCCATGAGAGTGCTGAATTATTCAGATGAAACAGAGTCAAACTGAGCAAAGAAATTCTGACTACATTATGTTACTCTCTAAAGCTTGGGTCACAGTCTGGTTTTGATAACTGACAGTGATAATTTCAACCTTCTTGTTTCACTGTCATGGCTTTTTAGTTTTGTCAAAAAAATTGCTTCTGGGTGGATGATGGTGTGATACGACGACAGGAGAAACATTTCTACCCTGGGATGTTGAATGCATACTGTTTTTGACTCCTATTTATTCACAGTGCATCCGCCATGCAACAGTAATGTTATGATGATGGCATAATTACAGGACATTCTCACTTAATTAACAGTTAGTCAATGGCCAATTAGTCTTTGAACATTTTGCAAACAACCTGCAAACAGATCACCCCGCTTGAACCTGAACACCCTGTTGAACTTGAACTTAACCATGTGCCCCCATTAAGTGGTGTCTACTGAGATGTCCAGTGTAAGCTGTCCAGTCACGCTTGCTATTTCTCACTACAGCAATCTCATGAAAGCATGATGGTTCAGTGTCTCAGATCTGATTTTAATGCTGATCAGTTTGCTCCTGAATCAGTCAGTCAAATAGATAAAGATGGGCATGAAATGGAAAGCAAAGTGAGTGTCCCCTTGTCTTGTCATCTGAAGGCTGTTGTGATCAATATGGCAGAGAAGCCTAATGGCATCATGGCCATGGCAGTGATTAGCCGAGCAAAATGATCCCATGTGGCCGCATCTGTCCCTACTGGAGTGCACTAGATCACAAAGATAGCTTCCAGCAAACTCCTCTGCATAGCAATGAACATCGATCTGTGGCCAAAGCTAGATGTGTCTGTCCCACTCTCTCTCTCTCTCTCACAGCTGATGAGCACAGACTAGAACAAACTCCTTATTATGATTCATAGCCTCAGATACTGAATGTGCTTTTCGGCCCAGTAATCTCTGCTCTGACTCTCTCCTCTTATCTCTGACATTTTCCTTCTCTCTATTTCTTTTCTGTCTCTTTCTGTAGTTGTGAGTGTGCACGTGTCCTCAGACAGCGCGACAGAGCAGAGAGACGGGGTGTCGCTGTATTCAGGGGCAGACCTTCGCAACACACATCAATGATGGAGAGGAGGAGGATGGACGCAGCCCTGCTGGTAGTGCTCTTAGTGCACCTCACCACTGCGCTGGAGGTCCCACTAGACCGTAAGGCAGCAGCTCACACACCACGGAACACAATCAAAGACTGCTGTTAGGTGTTGATCTTAAGCTAGAACAATTAAATATTCTGTTACTAAACTGGCAGAAAATTGTCAGCTGTGTCATTTATTAAACAGAAATGTCATTTGCTGGTTGCAGTATCTCAAATGTGCAGATTTGCTGTTTTTCTTTACGTGACAAATTCAATATGTTTTGTTTTTAGGCTGTCGCTTAGATAGTTGGGCATATGTCACTATTTTCTTACATTTTATTGAAAGAGCAGTTAAAGCTGTAGCTGGAAAATTTGGGAAATGTGCTTATTTGTCTCGATTAACTGATTAATCGTTCTCAGAAAATAGTGAAAAGTGTCCATCTGAAATAAAGTATTCAAATTCAGTTTACTATCATGTGTAAAAAATAAAGGCAACAAATCATCACATGTCAGAAGCTGTATCTAATGAAGGTTTGGAAGTTTTGTTTGAAAAATAATAAATAATTGCAAATAGTTTCATGTTAATTCTCTGCTGACCCACTAATTGTTTCAGCTCTACATCTATTCTATCTATGTACAGTAGGCCTGTAACTAGTTATCATGTTGGTTGCATTCGTTTCATAAAGCAAACAAACAGTGCTGTAACTGATGAGGAAAAGAGAAGAATTTGCCAGACTGACGTTTTCTGTGGTGCTGCTGTAAACCCTCCACATATTGTTTGGTTGGGGCTGTTGACCACTGGAGGCTGGCGTTCCTCATCTGTTAACTGGCCTTTTCCGAGCCTCATTCTGAAACATAAATAATGCAGGAAAAAACATTCCCACCTCTAATGTCTGGTTCTCTTTACTGTCACAATTTTTCTTTGTTGTTTGCTGATTCTTGGGGAAAACACTGAAGTTTTGGAAGGATGTAAGTTTCAAATGAGTGTGAATGTGCTGCAGATGGTTGTGCTACCAGTTTTTATTTTATTTTATTTTATTTAAGTATTTATTTTTTGTGCATTAATTTGGGTTGGACTTTAGTATTTTGCATGCATTGATCTCTTTGTTTGTCATTGTTGTTCTGTGTGTTTCTGCAGTGGTCGAGCATTTTCCTTAGAGTAATACTGCAAACAGCATGAGTCCTTATATCATTTGTTTTGTCACAGGCCATTAGTTATCTGCCCAGCACTGAGGAGAATACATTAAGCCTCAGACCATTACAATAAAGTGCAATGTACCTGATGTTCTGCATGCCATTTTTGCTATGAGAGCTTTCTGTGTCTGTCAGCAAACAGCCATCTGGTTTGATCCACTGTGTTAAGACTGCATGCTATTGATAATGGCCACTGTTTGTGTAGTCAGTACAGCAACAGAAAAAGGCTTAGTTATGCAGTAAAGGTCATGATTAAATATCACCCTCTTTCTGATCACCTTTAGTGCCACAGCCACCGACTATAACTCACCAGTCCCCCAAAGATTACTTCATCGACCCACGAGAGAACATTATAATCCATTGTGAGGCGAAGGGGAAGCCTCATCCCAGGTAGGACTCTACTGAATAAACAGCATTCATGATGTATATTCCAGCTGCAAACTCAACCACTATCTGTAAAACTTCAAGTTAAAAGTCTCAGTCTCCAGAAATTGAGTCTAAAGTATGAAGGGAAACATTCTGGTTTATTCAACCTTCAAAGATGGTGTTTCTATTCCAAGCTTTTGAATCATTTGCTTCAAATTATGCCACCCTCCTTCCTCTATTTATCTTTGTGTAGCACTTGATTAATTTCCAGGCACCGGCTCTGCTTGCACTTAGCCATTCTAACTTCTTCATCTATGAGTCACCTCGTTTTTGCTCAGTTTCTCCTGGACAAGAAATGGGACCCACTTTGACATCGACCAAGACCCCAGCGTCAGCATGAGTCCACACTCTGGGACGCTGGACATCAGCAGAGAGAAGGCTGAACATTACGAGGGGGTGTACCAGTGCACAGCACGAAACAAACACGGAACCGCTGTTTCCAACAACATAGTGGTGCGACAGTCCAGTAAGTGGATTGTAGTCCATTATAATACTCTTCTCATTTTCATTTACACCTCATACCATATAAAAAAAATCAAATCCTTTCTTTTCTTTTTCTAACAATTAAGTTACATTTTTCATGTTAATAGCACTGCTGACAGGTAAAGGATGCATGTAGAAAGCAGCATGTTTTAGTTCACGCAGTGGAATAGTGGATGGAGCCGACTATCCCTTTGTGTTTTTCCTCTAGCACACTGTCATTCAGTTAGGCATCATCACTGTCATCTTGCCTTGTCACATCTGTCATCATGTCAGTGATAGCCCATTAGGAATTTGTCACTTTATGAGGCTTCTCATCCACTCATATGCCTATCCTTCTCCAACCAATCCAGGATCCCCCTTGTGGTCAAAGGAGAATATCAAACCAATCGTTGTCCAGGAAGGCGTGTCCTTGGTGCTGCCATGTCGACCCCCTGCTGGCCTGCCTCCTCCCATCATCTTCTGGATGGACAGCAGTGAGCACTTCAGTCACAGGGGATAATGCTTTAGCTAGATACCTAAACACATTATAACTCAAACACCTCTGTGTTAATGTCTGCTGTCAATAAACCAGGTTTTTAAACTGTATTTTTAAACAGGTTTTTACTGTATATAACTTTGTCAACCTGATGTTTGTGTTTTAAAATTTTTGTATATGTTTTTTTCTATTGCTGCAGTCAGGTATTGCTTTCCACACTGTCCACAAGTTAAACAGCATGCATTTGACAATGGTCGTCATGAATATGAATACATTTAGTTAAGGTGTGCTGTACCTTTCAGACTTCCAGAGGCTGCCTCAGAGCAGTAGGGTGTCCCAGTCCTTGAACGGAGACCTTTACTTCTCTAATGTACTCCGAGAGGATTCAAGGAGCGACTACGTCTGCTATGCTCGCTTCCCACACACACAAACCATCCAGCAGAAACAACCCATCACAGTCAAGGTCCTCAACCGTAAGTCTGACTGAGAAGAAAACACTCAAGTGAGCTGAAGGTTTAATGAGCTGAGATGAATAGTATGTGATATTGTGTGTGTAATGTGTGTTCATGAGAGGCAGTTCATCTGCAGTATTAGGAGCAAAGCAGCATTTCCTGTCTCTGATTCCATCCTCAGAGACACTAATGGTCATCGTCCCACTGAAAAGACATATTGTCAGAGCTATTACAGCAACCTGCTCTGTCTGTCAGGTGTTTATTTCCTTACTTCTGTGAGACATTTTGTGTTCGCACTCCCCACCAACAACAAAGACCGCTCTCAATGAGGATTTGCAGCTGATGTGTTGCAGGTTGTTCCCACTTGATTCTCATGGTGGTCATTCGCCATCTTTGACATTTACATCATTTCATGTTTTCTTCTGACAGTTTTAATTTTGAACACTCATGTTAAGTTGTCAAATTGTGTGTGTTTTTCCCCCCTGATAATTTCAACTTGTGGCCTGTTTGATTTTTCTGTTGTGTTACAGTGGATGCAATCAATGACACAATGGCAGCTTTATACAATGACACTGATTTATTTAGTGGTGAGTTTTGGCACCCCCCCTACTGTTTTTCCCCCAACCTAGTGCCTCAAACTCCAGCTTTCATCCACTAACACTAACCCTTCAACCTGACAACCCCAAGGCTTTTTGCAGTCGCACTGGGTTACCTTTTTTTAGAGGTGAGAGCTGGCTCCCCCTGGCGTTCCCTCCCAACATAGCGCGCTACTCTCTACCTGCTACCCACTAACAGCTGTTACCCACTGAACCAAAAAAATCCAAGTTCCTTCTTCACTCCTGCTCTGTCTTTTCAAAACCCATTTGATACCTATTCACTTCCTCCTACAAATTAGCACTGCATGAAGACTCCAATATTGACTGAGCTGCTTGTGTAACTTACAGTGAAAGATAAAGTATAGATAAGGTTAAATCATTCTTTATGTTTGGCTTGTTGCTGTCAAACAGCCAGTTGCAGTCTTTATTTACAGACTCACTCTGTACCTGCAGCCCTGCGTAATTTTTAGCTAGTTCTTAATCTTTTTGCCACTAATAATTTTCACCTCATCTTCATTGCCTGAAAGATTTTTGGTTTGTTTTTGTGTCTTAAAAAACCCCCACATTGGCTAACCTAAAACATGCAAACAGTTTAATTTGCCACAGTATTAAATTATCATCACTGCCATCACTGTTAACGCTCACTTCTATCAGTTAATTGTAAATAGTAAACACCCACAAGCAGTGCAATAAAAACTCAACATGGCAATAAAATTTGCATCTAACCATAACATAGAGTATGAGAATCATGTCTGCAATAAAGTGGGTTAGTGCCCATGTACTGCAGACCCATTGTCAAGGGCTGGGTCTTCACTGTGTTATGGGACAATGAAGAAGAGATGGTGATAGTTTTCTCTCTGAATCTGTGTGTAACTATAGACGACCCAGCAGATGAGAGGAAGCCAACCTTCCTCACTCCATCTGGCCCCTCTAGCTCCAAGATGGTGTTGAGAGGACAGGTGCTGGAGATGGAGTGTATTGCCGAAGGACTGTAAGTGAAACAGTCTGTCATTACTTCAGTCCTGAAAGTCTCAAGCCTCAAGCCACCAGCTCAAGAGTCAACATTACTTTGTCTTTGTCTTTTCCCTTTCTCTTCTTCTTTGAAACAAGGCCCACCCCAGAAATCTCCTGGACCAAAATGAGCGGTGATTTCCCAGCCAAACGCACATCCTTCCTGCACTACCAGAAAACCCTGCGTATTGTGAACGTGTCGGAATCGGACGCAGGTGATTATCGCTGCACCGCCAGGAATCGGTTTGGCTCGGTGCACCACACTATCCATGTCTCAGTCAAAGGTGAGTCTGTGAAACACACGGTATCCCAGTCCCTTCTCTAGCAGTACAGTCAATGCTTTCTGTCACTTTGTTCTCCGTCTCCCTCTGTCTCATTACTGATGTATGCACAAATGCCAGCAAGGCAGTGTGTTCAGTGATTAATTCTCCAGCTCTCTGCGGTGCTCTGTTCTATTTCCAGCTGCTCCATATTGGATCAGTGGCACTCCTAGGAACCTTGTCCTTGCTCCAAGAGAGAACGGTGTACTGACCTGCAGGGCCAGTGGCATACCCAAACCCTCCATCAGCTGGTCTATGAATGGCATCCCCATAGCAAGTGAGTAAAATCTGTTCCTTTAGACTAAATACCACTCTGCTATGAAAATAGATCTCCCAGTCTTTGACCTTTTTCACATTCCATTCAATCACAAGTTGACATTTTTTTGTACAGATTAGACAAATGAGATATACAATACTGTGTTAAATAGTCAGCTTTAAAGGTGGACAGAGTCATACTGTCAGTTTACTTGTGTCTCCAGTCTTTATGTTTAAAGACAATTATGTGAATTAAATGAGGAAATATCTGATCAAAGGATACTTAAAACCTGACCATTCACTCACTGCCAGCTTTAGTACACTTTTTATTACTACAGACATAATGTGATTGCTACTCAAAAAGTATGTTTGAGGGACAGCTTTGCTTGTGGGGTGAGTAGATGGTAGCAATTTTTCCTACCAGTACTTAGATCCATCTCATGTTCACAGAGCCACAGTTAGATCTTCTAACCTCCTGTTATCCACAAACAGATTGGCCAGCAGAACTGAGCAGAAAGGTGGAAGATGATACCATTATATTCACCGATGTGCAGTCTGGATCCAGCGCTGTATACCAGTGCAATGTCTCCAATGACTATGGCTACCTCCTGTCCAACGCCTTTGTCAATGTCCTCTGTAAGTTCACAAAATGAGATCCACTTATATTTCAATGCTCTTTTCCATTTTCACCAATGTCTGGAAGGCAACACCACAACAATAATTGTTACTGCCACACTGTAGCGGAGCCGCCCAGAGTGCTGACACCAGCCAACCAAGTCTACCAGGTCATCAAAAATCACCAGGCCCTGATAGATTGTGCGTCCTTTGGGTCGCCCATCCCTAAAATTACATGGTGAGTTTATGAAACTTTGATAGAGGAAAGTGTATTTTATGTTTTTTTTTGTTTGTTTGTGTTTTTTTTCAAAATCTCAGTGGTTTCTGCTCTGTCTCAGGTTCAAAGACACCCGGTCCAGCACCCTGGATGGAGACCCTTACATCTTGCACAACAATGGGACTTTAGAGATTCCTGTAGCTCAAGCTCAAAATAGCGGCAAATACACCTGTGTGGCCCGAAACGACCTTGGTATCTACGAGAATCACGTCTACTTGGAAGTCAAAGGTGAGTGTTTCTACAGCGAGACCATTGTAAAGCAGTGCAGATATGTAACTAATAAAAGTGTACTTATTAAATTGTGATGTTTGTAATAAAAACTACTGCTCTGATGATTATTTTATTAATTAAAAGAAAATTAGTAAATGACAATTTGGTGATTTGGTAAAACATTTTCTGGTTATGGTATCAAGGTATGAAATAGGAATCTGGAAAACAAGTGTGTACTTTAGAGGTCAAAAACAGTAAAAGTTGGTCTTTTGGGTGAATTTTGTAACAAATGACTAGTTTGACACATCTGTTGGTGTGTGTTAAACCTTGGTCAGAGCATACTAGACAGTAGTAAGCTCTGTTTTTAAAGGACAAATTCCGTAAGTGTAAACAGTTTTCATTTAAAGCCAGTTTCACTTGTTCACCTGCCATAAAAAGTACAAAAGTCAATAAAAATAAAAACTGTGTATATAAAAAAAAAAATAAATGAATCATTTTGTAATGGCATAAGTCAGGATCTTTAACACTGTATGTGCTAAATAATTCATTAAAATAATCTTAAATCTTAAGTTTAATAATCTTTAAAAAGAAACCATATTGCAGACATATGCTAGACTATATGGTGTAGAGATTTGTTGGTGTGATTCCTCAACGTCAATCAATTTAAATTGTGCCTAACCTCTTTTGTCCCCTCCCATCAGAGCCCACCAGAATCCTGACGCATCCGAAGTATAACGTGGTCCAGAGGGGCAGGTCTGTGGTGTTTGTGTGTATG